TTGGGGAAGTTTGGTCGGTGGTCTATAATATAAAGGCCGATCTCCTAAACCGATCTCAAGCCGATGACGCGCCTACCGTGAGAGGTTTGGCACGACATGCAGCGGCACCGCCTCAGTCTCTGACCGGCGCGGTAAAATAATTATAATGCTGATGGTGAAGTACAATTCATATTTCTTAAAAGTAATTTGAAAACTTTCTGTGAGATGTAATTTCACAAACCGTGTGAGTGAATCACCGCGCAAGCTCTCTCTCAAAACGCGCAAATGGCTTCAAATCACCACATGCCTCTGCACTATAAGCGAGCTGCACAATTCACACAGGAATTGTCACTTGCACAGTGTTGCATCGTCACTAAAGTTTAGAATTTTTTATTTCTTTTTAATTGTTGCTCGTGTTTAAATCATTCAGCACTTGAACGCTCTCCTAGAGGCTCATGCACGCTCAAAACGCGCACACATAACGCGAGGTTCATACATACTCTTGCTTATATTTTTTGTTTAAACACGTCTATGAAAGATTGTATTACTGTACTACGTAAAAAGAGAATCACAATGCTCAAAAAGCATTTTCAGTAACAACGTTTAGATTCGAAATCAAAATGGATAAATGTTGTGTTTGTGGTAAACAGCCACGGATCAGTTGCAGACTCCTGTGTGAAAGCATAATGAGTCCTGCTGCTTCTGCACAACTTACGTAGCGCACATGAACTGCATTCGCACTGCAAACGGAGTATGTGTGAACCTGGCATGAGGCCGCCTCACATACAGCTCACGAAATCAGGCTTGTGCTGTGTGTAAGCTATTGTGCAACAATTGCCCCATTGTAAAAACAAAAATGCACTGCATGATCAAACATTTAGGTGCATAATTATATATTTTTGAAAAATGTAAAAAAAAAAAAAGCACCCCCACAAGAGTCAACTAAGGGGGGAATTCCCCCTATTTTCAAAAATGAAATTCAGGCCCTGAATGAATGTCTGTAAAAATCCTGACTGGAGCATCACTATAAATAATTCTACGTGATAAAAATAAGGCTTCAAAAAGATTGGTATAGGTGATCGGTATCGGCAGATACTGCTTCCTGTGATCGGCCCAAAAAATCCTGATCGGAGCACCCTTAGTAAGTCCTCTTATTGACACATGAACACATGTATTTGTCAGCAGGTGTATCGGCTCATTCACGGCCTGATGATCACAGTCAGGAGAAGGTGGTTTCGGTCTGCCCGGTGAAGGATCTCATCACAGAAGAGAAGCCTTATCATTCCCATGCGCTGGAGCTGAAGCGAGAAGATCCCGTCACATCCTTACCAGAGCCGGAGGAAGAGGAGCTCGGCGGCCTGGAGTTTGAGATGAAGATCGAACAGGTGGAGGAACTTGTGGATCAGAAACTGAATCAAGTTCAAGCAGAACAGAAGAACGAAACCCGTCGTGAAGACGGAAACTCGTGGCGTTCGAAAGCGTTCGACGATCCGGAGAGTCTGATAGAGCAACGATCCCAGATGCTTCCAGATTCGAACGTGATGATGGAGGATCCGGCGGCGCAGGCTTCATCTGATTTGTTCTTTTTCGGCTTTGGCGCTTCTGGAGACGTTGAGGACGGATTGAATCTTCCTCGACAGGAACGCTCATCCAGATCCGGCGACTCCGCGGCGTTCTCGTTCTCGCGGCCCAGACCGTTCCGCTGTGAGGAATGCGGGAAGGGCTTCACACAGCGGATGCGTTTGATCACGCACAGACGAGTGCATACAGGCGAGAAACCCTTCCACTGTCAGTTGTGTGGGAAAACCTTCTCCAGACAGGACAACTGTCTCCGGCATGTGCGCCTGCACAGCGGACAGAGATGAAGAACGCCGATCCCAACGCTTTTGTCTCAAAGTGAGATTTCTGCATATTGTAACTAGGGCTGCACAATAAATCGAAATTAAATCGGTGCGATTGTCATGCGCATCTTGTCAGTGAAGCACGGTTCTGTGATCAGTAGTAAATCTCCATCCGAAGGCCAGCCAACCTAAAGAGAAGAAATCCAGGAAATCCCTATAGCGGTAGCTGAATAAACAGAAGATTTAACTGCTTTCATTGATTCAGCGTGACTAATAAACACACGACTACAACAATATATGACCCTGGACCACAAAACCAGTCATGAGGGTCAATTTTTTTCAATTGAGATTTATACATCATCTGAAAGCTGAATAAATAAGCTTTCCATTGATGTATGGTTTGTTAGGATAGCACAATATTTGGCCGAGATACAACTATTTGAAAATCTGGAATCTGAGGGTGCAAAAAATCAAAATATTGAGAAAATTATCTTTAAAGTTGTTCATATGAAGTTCTTAGCAATGCATATTACTAATCAAAAATTACGTTTTGATATATTTACGGTAGGAAATTTACAAAATATCTTCATGGAACATGATCTTTACTTAATATCCTAATGATTTTTGGCATAAAAGAAAAATCAATAATTTTGACCCATACAATGTATTGTTGGCTATTGCTACAAATATACCCCAGCGACTTAAGACTGGTTTTGTGGTTCAGGGTCACATATATGGTTTATCTGAGTTCTTATTATTATAATTATTATTAATAAGTTTCATTGTAATAAAGTATAATGCAATGCTAATTGACATCTTTTATCACTGCTTAGAATACTATGAAATATGTTGCGTGCCTTATTCTGTTTAAGAAGCCACACGCACTCCAATAATATTTACAACTTCCAAAAATCATTCTCTGCAATTTAATAGCACTTCCAATCCTGATGCCCATTTTATCATTTACGGCTATTTTTAAAGGAAATATTTATTGTGGCGACCCACAAACCTTTATTTTCATGATGTCTTTAAGTGTGTTGTTGCAGTTTGCTTACATGAAATGTGTTCACATAATCCTCTGTTATCTTGTTCCATGTTTCTGTCTGAATTAACCCTGGGTAATCATGATTTGATCTGTAATTCCTGAGTTCATGTGCATATTTGCATATTAATGAGCTTGTTTTAATAACTGCTCATCCATTTGATTCTTCTGACACATGCAGCAGAAATAATACTTTCTTCTTTACTCCAGTTAACAGTTGCATCTTTTTAGTGTTTTCCAGCAGATGCACATGGACGTTTCTGTTACTATACAGAGCTCATGAATATTTACTGAGGTAAGTGCTTTGGAGTTTAGGATTGGTTTGTCTTTGCATTCTATTGCCACATTGTTTCATCTTTTTGGGCCACAGTTCAGATTTGTCCGTCAAAAAGTGGCCCAAGTTTTACTAAAGATGTTAACAGTTGATTCACTGAGTTCCTGTAGAGAGCATCGTTAATATCAAACCTGTATTGATGAATATGACTTGATATATGTCATTTATAGTGCTGTTAATGTTTTTAATGTTCTTTCAGTAATTCCACATTCACATTACTGCCTCACATTTAGGTTTTTTTCTCATTAAACACTCTTATATTCAGATTTATTAACAGCTTCATTTATTGTCTGTTCTGATGACCTCGCTGTCTTAATGGAAGTATTCATGCAAGAAAAAATACGTTATGTGCATTTAAATATGATTGTAAATCCTATTGATGCATTTAACTTGGAAATACATCAAATTATGGGAGTAAAATGAGCTGCAAATGTGGTTTCATGTTGACTTAT